AAGGCTTGTTTCTTGACCAGATAAACTGAAGTCCTTAGTACACAATGCTGCAAAACCAGCTGCTCAAGGAGTTATTTTTGCAACATTGTGTTTCTTACAAAACTATTGACCGTGACTCTGTTTTTTGGTATATCTGGTATTGTATTCATATATATTATGTGCTACTGGGGTTTACAATGTCCAATAAATCAGTGTATTTGTCCATATTTCCTGTAGATCTTTTGATTATTAAAACATTTTACTCTCTTTTCTATTTGCAGATCCAATATAGACGTCAGCCAACACGATTCACACACAAGCAGCCCAATGGACAGCAGTTTCGACTCTGAAGACCAGCAGACGCTCTATTGGCATGAGAACTCTAAACCTGGAACAATAGTGTAGAGAGTGAGAGAAACTGCTTCCTGTTCACTCTTATGTGCCTTGTTCACATCCCGTTTGCTTATTAATGCCAACGAGTTCCAAAGGTAGGAATGTCGCCAGACGAGAGCCTTTAAAGCATTGCGTGTGAAGGACGCTGCGTTCTCTTCGTGAACAAACCTATGGGATAGCACATCGTCTTCAAGACATAGCTGCTGTGGAAACTTTGGGTGAAACTTTTGACGCTGTGGGCAGAATGAACTGGGTACATCGCAGTACATGCGATGCAATATACCCCAATACACACTGTGAGATTGAAGGATATTGCAACATTAATGTTTCATCAGGCACAAGCAAAAAATTATATGAAGGATTGAAACCAGATTTTTCTCGTGTGCAAAACCCTCACCGAAATATTCTGCAGTGCTTTTTCACACTTGGATTGTTAGTCGTTCGTGCTGATCTCGACTAACTTTTAACAGTGTTATGTGTGTGTGTGTGTGTGTGTGTGTAAACTCAGTACTTGGAATGTGATGGTGCAACAGCCTTTATTCAGTATTTTCTTTATACAGTCACCTGTGTACCATTTTAATGTAGTTTACAACCAGCAGTGCTGTTTTTAATTAGTGCACAACTAACATTTGCACTAGAAAATACTAGTAAATCATGTCTGTCAACATGTTACTTTACGTCAGCCAGTGCCAAGTATTCAGTTTCTTTTCTAATCCTGTTAAAATGGACTGCAACAACTCTATAATTGTTGAAACATGACTGTATGGGAGTATAATTGTTTTTATACTGTCACTAACAAATTATCCTGGTACAATAATTGTGGCCATTTACTGCACTTTTATACCCTAATGAACTTTGCTCACTCTGAAAGATTGGAAACCGTGAATGAGAGCACAGCATCTCTCTTTCTCTTCTGAAGGGAACTGTATATGTGTTTGTAAATACTGTAAAAACATTTGATACGTTTTTCACCTTTTAGAGAGATTTCTTTTTATCATTTTGAAAGATTTGTTTTTAAAGCATATAATATATAGGTTGGATTTCTCAAGCTGGTTCTTAGTAAAAAAAATCATTGGAATTAAAAGAGAAAACCAACATGTATTGCCCTTGTCTTTTGTCAGTATTGAGCATGAATGGTTTTATAATTGGAAATAAAACTTTCTTGTGGCTTCATGAGGAAATACCACCTGCTGGGATGCAATAAGGAAGTTGACAGCTTGACTTAGTGTGACAGTAAGCCGCCATTGGGACTGTAAAATTATTTAACATCAATAAGTAAATTCTATGCAATATTGGTTACATTTATTATTTAACACATGCTTATCCAAAAAAAAACACAGCTGGCAATACAACAATTGATTAATTATACATTTGTCTTTTCATAGCTGAAATATTGAATTAAAGTTCTCACATAAAAAGGGCTACACACATATCATTCTTTCATCACTTTAGACTGAATTCTCATGAGAACAAGCATCTGGTCATGTGTGGAGTACAGTATAAAACCAGATCAACAAGTTTTGAGACTCCAGCTAAGAGCACATGAGCCACTCCCCTAAAGATAAGCAATCGGTCATCATCTGTGTACAGAATGAGCTCATAACACATCATGTGGCTGTCCGGCTGGCTTTTTATGCTACACCTTTGATAAATATCCATAATTCATGTATTTATGTTTGCACTTGGACTGATTAATAGTAAGTAATATTTAAAATACATTGAAAGAGATCAAAGATATTTTTATTTGGTCCATTTATAAAAAAAAACAGTATTGTGACCTATAAATTCTAAGCCAGTGTCATTCTTATAATAAATATATTTTCAAAAATATATAAAACAAAATAAATATACTGTAAGACTATATTTCATTTCAAAATATACTGGGGAAAAAATCATAGAGGAAAATAAGTATATTTCATTACATTAATAAAACAATCATTAATCATACATATATATTAAGTATATTCAATTGGATATAATAAAGTATTAAACATTTAATAATACATTTTAGCACAATTATTTTCCTCATTGTATTGCAGTAATATAAAAAAAAATTTGTTTGTTCTTTTTTCAAATTGAAATAGGGAGTATGTTTTAATCATGAGAATGATTTCATAATGCAAAACATTTTAATGGGTAATTATTTTTTTCTGCAAAATATTAGTTGTTTTGTTTTCTTTTGATTTTAGTGTGGTATTTCTTTATGACATTCACCCTACAGCTCTTGAAGTGATTGCTCTCTCCTCACATTGCCCTCTGCTCTTGGCTTTGAGAGCGATACAGAGGCTTTGTTCTGATGAACCGTGGCCTGGGGCCGTCCACCCTGCACTGCTTCTGAGGTATGCTGGGATGTTTGTGCTGCAGCTGTGCCCTTCTGTCTAACCTCCTCTTGCTCTTGTAGCCACCAGCTGCACAAAGATATCAGCCAGGTCATTCGCAGCTGACTCCAAACCTATGCAAACAATGGTCATCTATTAGTCCTTCATGAATACACACACACACCATCCTTCCAGTTGTCAAGTGGGTTTGTGGTTATGCACCCTATTAAATTTCACAGTACATAGACATAATATTATTGTAATATAATCATCTGTAACTGAGGAACTGGTGTTTTGTTTGCCTAATTTTTCCAAACAATGTGTCAGTTCATTAATGGGCCCGTTGCTCATCTGAAATCCCATTCAATGGCGGTGTAAAAGTATGCAACAATGGTCACCTTATACACCTGAAGGTCATTAGACATGAGGTCATGTTTAACCTTTAGAGATGGGGAGGGTAGTTTCTGAGTATAATTACATGTCTTAAGAAGCTTGTTTTAATCGCCTGCTAACCCCTATCCTGGTGAAAGAAAAAAAACATTATCTCCACCTAACAAAATTTTTTTATAAATAATTTATAATATTATATTATAATATTTCATATGATATTATACAAAACAAATGTGCTTTTTTGTGTGCTCAACAGTTTATAATTAGTCACTACCTTTCTGATCAATGTTGGGGAAAGTTACATTTAAAAGTAATAATGCATTACTTTTTATGGAAGGTAATGCATTACATTACTTTTGCGTGTTTGTTTTTAATATAAAAAAGTTCTATTTAGGATGCAGGAGAAGAAAGTTAGACACTCTTCAGCAATAAAGAAGAAAGAAAGAAAGAAAGAAAGAAAGAAAAAGAAAGAAAAAAAAGTTATCGGATTACATAACTTGCGTTACTTGAAATGCGTTATTATCCCAAGTTCCAACATTGTTTCTGATATTCCTAATTAGCTATGTGCTCAGCATTTTAGAATTCAAAGAGCTCAGCTTTGGGTCTGTTTTTAAACGTTAACACATGAAAGTGAAGTTGCTTATTCAGCCGGTTCAGATCTAGGAGCTAAGCATGATTTACTGTAGGTAAATGTGCACAGATGAGCTGCTCTGAAACACCCTGTAATCTACTGCACATAGGATAAGAGTGAGGGACAGAATGTGGATCAGTTGTGGGAATAATCTACCTTTAAATTCATATTTCCTCATACATTTCAAAGACTCCTCGTTTTTTTATGCAAGTCCACAAGTTCAGTCATTCTGTGAGCTTGTAATGAGACAGCTGTTAGAAACTGTTCTAGAGCATTGTGCTCAGGCATATGCACTGCTTGGTCCATTCCGTTTATTTGTTCCTCTTTAAAAAGGTTTTACTTTTGGAAAACATGTTTTAAGTCCTGTACACTCACAGTAGATGAAGACTCCAGTCATATCAGTAGCCTAAGAAAAGCTGATTGATTTATTTGACATAGATCAGGTTGCATGGGGCCAACATGCTGAGATCACATGACCGACTATTACTTGATTTATCTTTGTAAACCAATGTTTTCAAACACGTTGATTGTGGAATAAATGAATCATGTCTGACTATGAATATGGCATTTTTAAAATGACATTGGTAATTAGAAACCGCATTCACGCTGCAAGACGATATAGCCTATTTAACCACAACAATTCATTTGATTTCAAAGTAAATCTATATTTGATTCAAATAAAACACAAAAATGTGACTTTATTAACACATTTTGCATAGATTGAAGAATATCCACCTTATTTTTTTTTTTTTTTACGTAAATGCATTTGTAACTTGAATGTGTGAGGCTTCCGGTGCCATTCACCTCCAGTTATTCACTTGATACTGAAAACTGGTATTTGTTATTATATTATTTTACTTGATCATAATCATACACATACTGGGTTGTAATGAAAATAGCACATTAATAGAATAAAGCTTATTTCCACATTGCAAAATAAGGAAATTCAACTTTCGAGTTATTTAACCTAATAGGTGACAAAAAAAGCAGTAAGACATGAAAGTTTGTGCATTAATCAAAGGGATGATCTTAGGCATGATGCAAAGAATTGAGTATCTAAAACCCTCATATTGCTTTTACAACACAGCTACACCAGCAATGGGACAGAAGTCATCAATGAACAGTTCACATCAACAACAACAAACAGAACATACAGGTCATTATCAGTACCGCAGGAGTTTCCAGTTGCCGTTAAACAAAGTGACTTTCGTAGAATTACAGTTATCGCACTGCAGAAAATTTGAAGATCGTAAACCTGATGGCATCTTGTCATATTATAATTTGAATTGTCTTAATATATGAATGAATGCATTTTGGGAGAGAAGAATACTAACACTTGAAATATGCACATATGACACGTTTCCCTATAGATTATAGAAAAAAATCTTTGGAAGACGTTTTGAATTGCATCCTCTTACATTTGACCTGAGATGTAAACAAACATAAAACACTCTTACTTTCAATACAATTATTCACTCCATTATAGAAAAAAAAAACACACTGAGAAAAATACTTTTTGTTTTGCGAGTGAAAGATGTTGGAAGAAACGGAGTGAATTTCACAAATTGTGCCAGCGGAAAGCGGTTCCTTCATGTCTTGGTGAGAAGCTCAGTAAGGCACGGTCGAAAGAGTTCACTCCTTGAGTTTACTCTCCAGAAAGTCTTGAATTTGATTGAAGTTCTCTTCTTGTTGACCCAGTGCTTCAAGTATGATTCCCATAGGTGATTTCTTGAGTCCAGCACTCTCCATCTTATTCTCCAGTTTGTTTTTCATGTTCCGTAGGCGAAGCGATGCATGTACAAAGATCACTGAAATGCAAAATGACAAAGGACTTTAAGCCTCCAGATGCTTCATGTTGCATGCTAAATGACATAATATCTGGATTTAATAAACTGCTGTTTTGCATTTGTTTTCCTGCAAGGCACAACGAGTCTTATTGTTTTCCATCGAATAGGTTTCCATCTTACGGAAAACATTTTTTTCCCTCCATTCATTTTTAGATTTATGATAATGATGATTTTCTTAAGAAACTTACAGATAAGAGGTAGCTTGATTCCAAGCAGGAACACCATAACTCCACCAAAAAGCGACATGAGGAAATAGCTCACGACCATCACCAGAAATACAAACAAAGCAGGGTTCTCGTTCTTGAATGTTTTGATGACCGCCTTGTTCTCCCCTGCCCATACAGAGCCAATGAAGACAGAAGCGACCACTGCTGCACCGGTGAACATGCTCACAGGGTTCAAGAACCTGTGGACAGAGACATTGGCAGTGACAGGATCTTATTGAGGCAAAAATTATAGTGATTATACTACATTTGTGTCCGACCCCCCCCCCAACTTCGATGTCTACTTAGAAATAAGCAGTGTACTCATTAAAGCTGTACTCACTGTGTTTTTGATCACAGCCTTGTATGTTTTATGAGAATACAAGCATATGTCAATGGTGACACCTAACGGTTATAAAATGTAAACACAATAAAATATTGTTGACAAAAAGCAGCCATCTTCCATGTTGGGCTTAAAATATTTAAATAATTAATAACTTGACAGTTTAATAACTTTGACTCTGAAACGTTAAAATAGGCATGCAGTCTATGATTGTGAAATGATTACACGACTAAATACTGCTTCCGTGCCCTTTGCTCATGGACAGTGTCAGTGTCATGTGATTCCACCCTTAAATATTGTTCAGTCTTAGCAACTAGCTATAATATTAGAGCCAAAGCATAATCTCCCAGACATTAGATTGGCCTTCATTTTACAAACACAGCTGCCCACATATCAACACAACTATGTGTGCCCAGCCCCAGTTCAACTAACTATATTTAACTAAGAATTACCTCATGTTAACAGTCACTTCTCGCGATACTTTGTGTAATGCGATGTTTGAATTGACGTGCCGACGACAAATTAGAAATCATATTTGAATATTCATTTAACAGTTAAATCCCATATTGTGCATGCATGATCACATTCACCAAGAAGACAGGCTAAGCTTACTGGACTTACCCTACAACCAGGAATACAATGATTGCCAGTACCAGATAGTTTGTTTGATAGTACAGGAGGTTGCTGACCACTCTGTTGTTCCATTTCGCCAGATCTCGCGTGTCTGGTCTGGCGAAGCGCTCTGAGCCTGGGTAGAAATCATCCCAGCTTCTCAAAGGGGCGATCTCCACTTTAGCCATTAAATCAGACTAACCGGATCCCAGCAGCTGCTCGCCTCATATGCAAACAGCCTGTCACTTCCTCACTCTCGCGATGCACTTTGGCTTTAAATGGGCGGCAACTTAGACAAACTATAGAAATCTCAAGAGATACTGCTTTTTATTATCATGCTACTCACATGCTGTTTGACTGCTGATTGAATTAGCCAGGAACTCGATGGGATTAATCATTTTTTTGAATCGGATTTTTTAAATGAAAGATTGGAACTGAAACCGAATCGATTCTAGAGTCAATTGAACCAATAACCTATAGTGACCCTATAGGATCTGATTGATGTGGAGAAAAGCGAATTACTTTAATAGCTGACATTTTACACATAAAACATAATAAACACATGACGGTTTTATCAACAGGAATACGAAATAAGGTTCCGTTTTAATGAATTGCATTAAACCCCTATTTAAATTACAGCTAAGAAATGCAAATACATTTTAGTATTACTAAATCCAGCATGCTGTGTGGGAGCCTGAAAAAGTAAATCAACTATTTTCATTGGTTGTTAAGGTCATTACGTAGCTGCCCCGGAAACTCGGTGTAGACTGGCCACGCCCCTTCTGTGAATGTCATGGCTGCGCGCAGCGCGAGTGAAACTACAGATGTGCTCAAATAGTAAAGCATTTTTTTTTTCTTGGGTTAATGTATATAATTTATTTTATGTCACATTTGATACATTTATTGTTTCTTTTGGGAACTCCAATTATAACCTCACAGTGTTATCTCTGGTAATATCACGTTATGTGCTCATCACCTTAGGAGCTAGCTTCGAAGAGTCACTTCAAATCATAAGCTATTTATTAACCTAACGTTTATGCATATTTAAGATTCTCTTCAGATGAACTGAGGAGGGCAGCAATACGCCTTTGAAGCGTCTAAGCTGCCGCTAACCACACAAGAAGAAGAAGACGACGAATATTTAAGATTCAGTATTATTTATATGTCATGTGAAATTTAGAGACACTGACATTATTGTCTGTAAGTTCACCGATGTGGGCTAAATTATTTCTGCGCCCCTCGTTTATCAACCGAGTTCATCTCACGTGGAGTCGCAGATTATTAGTCACAATGCAACTGAAAACGAAAGAGTTTGAGACCTTATTTACCGACGGGCTGGTTGGCATTGCTGGTAAGTTCACTTTATCTTACGTCATCATAATTTTTTCAAAAATACTGTGGTGGTACCATGGTGCAGTGATAGTAGGCTATACCACTTTTAATATGCAGTACCTGTGAGAAGTTTGGACACGCCTACTCATTCTTTGTTATTAGCATTTTCATATTATATCATATTACTTAAGTCACCAAAAATACAAAATGACACAAATGGAAATAAATCTATTTTACATTTTATTAAATCAGGCGTGTCCAAACCTCTGAATGATTACCATGTTAGTGTACCGTGCTATTTACTTTGTACTACCAAGGAACATTTGATATTGGTTTTGATAAATAGAAATATTTGAAAAGAACCA